GTCTGCCCTCGACCACGAAGGCATCCCACAGGGTGTAGTGTTGTCCGTCGAGCTGCGGAGAGACACGACACACGTGAGGACGACAGACGTAACAGCAGAGGTGGACTTTTCATCTGTCCCTCAGACCCCGGCCTCATTAGACCCCAACAGGTCACCGTGAGGTCAAGAAGGAACTTCCTGCTCACTGACGGAGGGAACTCGACTGGTCTTTATTATTTCAGAATCGTCAGAAACGACAGGTTTTTAATTATTCTCCTCAGGAAGAGACGTAGATTATTATTTATCTACAGTTGTTGTTTCCAGAGCCTGAGGTTTGGATTTGTCCAGTGCACGTTAGAACAGCTGTACCCCAGTGAACCACTAGGTTCATACAGGTGTCACGTCAGGTGTGTTCAGGGACCATCGGAAACTTGACAATCTGACCATCACGTTGTTCAGGACAGATGCTAATTTAAAAGAAGAAAAAAAAACCCTGAATCTTGCCTCCACTTCTCTGGACCTCCCTGGGTGCCGCGCCCCCCACTTTGAGAACCACTGTGTTAGAATACATCATTTTCAGATGCAACGTTTGGCAGAAAGGCAAAGAAAAAGTGAAGTGAAGAGAGAAACTCTCTGAAAGATGTAAATGTAACTGTTTGACATTTACGATGAATAAAAAAGTCGGAGAAACAGGAAACAGGAAACAGGAAACAGAGGCAGTGGTTTGGGTTTGGACTCCTGCAGGTTCATTATCTGTCCAAATCCAAACACAGTCCACAGTAAATCTGTGGTGTTTTAATTCCAGCTGTGACCCCCCCCCCGCCGCCCCCTGCAGGTCATTTGTCCACATTCACATCTGATTGACCATGTAAACAACCAGTCACAGTTTCACTGATGCCCCTGGGGTCTTCACTGACCCTGGTCCTCACCTGCAGACCATCTGTGGGGGCAGGAAACCTCCACACTCACAGGCCGTGGTCCAAACCTGGGCCGCAGGCCAGTGGCTGAAACACCACAGTTGTAATCTGTCTCTGAGGAGGAGGAGGAGGAGGAGGCCCCAGAAAAAATCTGTTTGTTCCTATAAATCCACTCCACCAGTGGAACCTCGTAAATCACTCAGTTACAGATTCGTTGTAAAGAATTCAGCTGTAACTGGTCCAACATTCAGAGAATAATTCTGTTTCCAGCTGGTTCTGGAATCTGACACGTCAGGATCACCTGACTCTGCAGGAGTCTGGTCCGGATTCAGACATGTTTATTATCTGCTCTGCAGCTCCACGTTCTGCTGACATCACAGAGCGCAGCTCCTCATTGGTTCAAAGATCCGTCTCCACGGACCAACCTCTCGACTGAACACAAAACCACGGGCGCACGCACAGAAACCAGCCGCCGTCTCCTGCTGCCGGAGGACAGATGATGTCACGTCCTGTGGTTCTCGGTAAACATCAGAGCCTATACAAACGTACCCCCCCTGCCCCCCCCACCGCCAGCCTGACCTCAGATGTGTCAGGATCGTCACCTGGAGAACACGTGCCACGTGTTGAGCTCGATCTCTTCACTGAAGAGAAGCAGCGAGGATCAGAACAACTCTAAACCTGCCTCTGATTCTCTGTGCTCCAGCAGCCGAGGGGAACTCTCTGACCGGCCCGGTCCACTCCCACCGCTCCTCAGTGGGGACTGGGTCTGACTGGAGGTCTTTGACCAACGTCACGACCGTCACG